TGCCTGTACTTTGCATGACGCTGCTATAAGAAACATCTATAGATTTTAAACTAGCTTTCAAGCGTCATATTGACCATCGAACGGACCACTGCACTTCGGCGCAGACCATTGCACTTCAGCGTGACCATCGCACTTCAGCGTCCCCATCGCACCTCCAAGTCATACATATATATACACTTCTTTTTACTTGATTTCAATAATTGCAAACACTTTTTTATACCGATTTTCTGATAATAGGTTTTATTGTACTATAGTAATAATCATATTTCCCGCGGGTATTGCCCGAGGGAAATATGATCTATTTTAGGATTTACAAATCTCTTTGAAGCTTATGTAACGAACATATATCTCTTCTTTATTAAATTGAATTGGAAATAAAACTCATAACAATATTGTGTTTTACTTAAAGAAAGTATGACATTTATTCAAAAATTACCGTTAGAAGGTGTTGTTTTCATTTATTAAAGCACTGAGTCGATACTGCTGCTGGTACACTATAAGTCCCTGAGGGTATCATCAGCTCAGTAGTCAGTGCTTCGGTACTAACATGATTTATAACAAACTTTTCTTAAATTGTCTGTTTATAAATTTAGAAAATTATGAAGAAACGAAGGTTTCAGCTCCCTCGGGCAAAGTTGATCCTAGATGAATTGGGCTCTCCTGTAAAAATAAGTAGATGTGATATGATTGCCTACGTGACAACTACGTGACAACTATCCACCAATGTTAAAACGAAGAGGATGTAAGCAGTCATAGGCAACCCTACGATGAAAAAAACACATACCGTAAAATCGGCTATAAAACGGACCGACATGAAAAATAAGAAACAATTCAACTGAGAAAACTAACGGCCTAATTTATAACAAAGCAATTTATAAAAAAAACCCAAATAAACCAGACTTGAAGTAACGACAACCACTGAACTACACAGTGGCGGGACCAGAAATTTTCATAAAAGGGGGCGGGGGGGGGGGGGGGGGGGAGTACTGACTGCCATAAGAGAGGGGCCGCTCAAGTAATGCTTCAGTGGTCTCGAAATAATCAACCAAATTTTTCCCACAAAAGGGGGGACCCGGGCACCCTGCCGCCCCCTAAATCCGCCTCTACTACATGCTCCTGACTTTGGACAGGCACATACATAATGTGGAGAATGTGTAGGTCCTTTATTGGTCATATAGGTTTTCACTCCTTTCTTTATTTATACATGCTTGGCTTTTTAATATTCAGCTTCGAGTGTTTCTGGTGAAAGTAAATCCAGAAAATCGTTTCGGATGCATGAAATTTATAGAGTGTGTTTTGCAAGGAGATCGTGACGTAGGGATGTGAATGAGAGGTTTATTTGTGCAATAATTTCGGTCTCCTAACTATAGTGTAAATCTGCAGTTGTTTTATATTGTTGATATACAAATTATAACAATCCTTAGGATAAGATGGATGAATTAATAGTTAGTTGTTTAACGTCCAGTGGCAACTTATAGATGCATTATTAGAACATCAATTATGATATAAATATGAACAAGGACGTACATATGCAGATGTTCAACTTTTATTTTCCGACCCCTGGCGTCTAAAACGAATTTAAACTTGTGTAAATATATGAAACATTTATTATTTTTATTTCATTATTTAACCAATGTAAAGCTTTTCGAATACACTCCACAATTCTGAATGTATCCTCATTATGAAATCAAGAAGAAAGAATGTCCAAATGCTCGGGCAAAAAAAAAATAATATCGTTTTGAGCTATAAAGACATCAATCATGTCCTCATTTAAAAACATATAATTTCTGACTTGGGAGAGGCAGCACAAAATGAACCGGAAGTTTTCTCACGCTTAACTTGTAGCATTGTCTCAACCATGTCCGAGCAAGGGGCAGCAAATCCTCTCTTTAATCAACAGTTAAAGGAATTCAAAGAGAGTCTATTACCAGACATAGAAGAAAACTGGGAAAACCCGATCAAAACACTTGATCTGAAATGGCCAAGATGTCATCTTTCTTCTGTAAGATATCACTTGAATGACAATATTGATTTTATTGAAAGCTGGGCAGACTAAAATGATTTGTTAAAAAACATCTTTTTTGATGTGAGAGAAAAAGCTTTTGTAAGTGGCATATAGGCACTAGGAATAATTGATAAATTCGTTACAGGTCCATTTTGGAGATTTATCGAGACATCAAAAAATATTCTAGATTTAAACCCTTCTTTGCCACTTGCAAATAAAACTTTAGGAGTTGTCCATTGATGCATCTCCACTCTTAGCTCGTGAATTAGTATTTGAAGGTGTGGAAGTACATAGAAATTCTATCTTTGATTCATTGTTGATAGATACTGATGATTCTGTCGCTGAAATGTATACACACATGGCATTAGAGCTTTGTGCAGGTGGTATGCTACTTATTCTAGAAAGGCAAGCTAAAGACCAATTGCCTAGTGGTAAATTCTATGAACCATCTTTTAGGGATCAAATCCACGGTAGTTCTGTACCTACAACAAATACATGCTTAGAGAGAGATTTTGCCATGATTGACATGTTAGTTAGGCTTAAACCTTCGGCTACAACTGTAGCTTATGAAGCTATAATTATGTGGTCCAACAACAAAACCTTAAGCTGGCTTTCAAAGCTGTCAGACACAGATAAAAATAAATTGAGAATGTGTCAATGGACCATAGATGCCTCCGCTTGTGAATATGCATGAGTCAACTTCCACATACAGATACAGGATTCACGTAGTTAAGACCGTTTTGTGATTATAAGCATAAGTTTCATAACATTTGGTTAAGGCAAACTAAAGTTAGAGAACGGAAACGACAAGTTTAGCAATTTTACATTTATAAAGGAACATAACTCAAGAATGGTAAAAGAGGGACGAATGATACCAGAGGGACAGTCAAACTCATAGATCGAAAACAAACTGACAACGCCATGGCCAAAAATAAAAAGACAAACAGACAAATAATAGTACAGATGACACAACATAGAAAACCAAAGACTAAGAAACACGAACCCCACCAAAAAATTGGGGTGATCTCAGGTGCTCCGGAAGGGTAAGCAGATCCTGCTCCACATGTGGCACCCGTCGTGTTGCTTATGTTATTACAAATCCGGTAAATAGTCTAATTCGGTAAGTCACATTCGTGAAAAGGGAGGGTATTGTAGTTACGACATAAGGAACATATCCGATATCATCTGTGAAACGGTTATTCCATAACGGTCAACCAACTCGTGATGGCGTCCGTAAAATTTACGAAGGGATGATTTCAACTTCCCCATTTGGAACTCTTGGTTTAATAGCTTCCTTGTGAGCAGCAATCCTCTATCAAGGAAATCATGATAGGAAACATAAGCCCGGGAATATCGTATCAATTGGGAGATATATACTCCGTATCCAGCGCTGCTGGAATGTTGCTACATAGAAATGGAAAGTTCACAATTGGGAAGCTGAAATCATCTCTTTTGTCGTAAAGTTTTGTTTTCAACCGACCCTCATTATCAATTTCTAGATGTAAGTCAAGATCTGAGGCAGACTTAACTGTATCTGTAGTATCCTTTATCTCTAGTTCGATGGGACAAATTCGTTCAACATAGTCACCAAATTTTGTATTATTTAGTGAGAGAACATCATCTATATAGTGGAACGTAGATTTAAAGGATATTGCTAACTTCTTATCTTTCTTCCTAAGAAGTCCCTGTATGAAGTCAGCCTCATAATAATAAAGAAACAAGTCGGCAAGAATAGGGGCACAATAGGTTCCCAATGGAATTCCAACAGTTAAAGTGACACCACCCAATTTGGAACTTGATCTGTGTTGCGTGGTAATAGGCATTGTGTATAAGGTTTATGACATTTGGTTGAGGCAAACTAAAGATAGAGAACGGAAACGAAAAATTCAGCAATCTTTAGGTTTATATAGGGCATAACTCATGAACGGTAAAAAGTGACGCCACCCAATTTCAAAATTGATCTGTGCTTTGTTGTAATAAGCATTGTGTATAAGTTTTATTACATTTGGTTGAGGCAAACTAAAGTTAAAGAACGGAAACAAATTTTCGGGACGAATAGACGGGACAGACAAGGGTAACACTTAATGCCCCCTCCGCTACGGCGGGGGCATACAAAGGCTATAGATGATGCCAGGATTAGTGCACCAAGTATTATTCAGTCATTTAAAACAAGACAACAAAATCTATTCAATAAAAAAAACTTGAAAATTCTAAGAGCAAAGAAAGAAAACAAGGCAAATAAAGAAAACAAAGAGTACAGCCAAAAAGTGAAATCAACAGCACAATTAAGTGAACTTGGTGATATATGGGTTACCTAACAAATAGAGTGCTACACGGTTCAAATAAAAGATAAACCTACATATAATGTTTTGTTCAAAGAAGCTTTGATAGCACAACTTTAATTTAGAAAACAGGTTATTAAAAGCAAAGGTCCTAAGGAGTTATTTCAACAGTCATGTAAAGGGAAACAATATTCAATTCAACAACTTGAAAGTAATTTAAATGAAGTTGTTGAAAAAAAATGACCAAAATGAAAATGTAGCTTCTGTTGAAAATAAACTTCAATATTGATCTATGAATGAAGTCAGTGGTAATATAAGCAAGGCAAAGCAAGCTTTAGCACACAAGTTAAACATGGAAAGAAAGAAAATAACAATAAATCAGCAAAGTTACATTTTGACCAAATTTATCGAAACCCCACAGCTTTTTGTTGGAAAAACTTTTCAGCAAAAATATAAAGAGGAGGGTTATAATGAAATTCATAGTGCTCTGGTAAAGTTATATCAATAAAAAAATTAAAGGGTAAAAAAATGAATATCTTGTAAAATATGACATCGATGAAAACGATGAATGGCAGTTTCCTTTGTTGGTTGACATGTCAAATGGTGACTTGATTATAGTTGAATAATCATGAATTTACAACAGCACAGGACATCATAAAATTGACCTTTACCGAACAGAACTTTGATAAATAGTTAACAAAAAAAAAAATAAGATAAACAAAATAAGAAAGTTTATTTCTCTTCAGTAAGCCTATATTTTACTTTCTGCTTATCTTCAAATTGTGTATTTGTTACGTCATAAATCACCTTTCTTAAAACATGTAAAATGTAACTGACTGTGTACTTTTGTAAAATAAATTGTGGGTCTTTCTTAAAATGGTTTTTAGTGTCGTTTAATCATCATTTTAGTAGATTTTAGTGAGTATTGAAATCCTCTCCATGTACCCCAATTGATACCATCGGCATTAGACAAGTGCTGTCCACCAAAATATATTCCATTCAAATTAGAATAATGACAATCATTGTACCACCATGCCCCTTGAAATGTAAGTGCGCAGTCCCGATAACTTCTGTCATTATCCTTGTCTTTAGTAGAAAACATCATGCCGTTGTGATAATAGTTTGGGTTGAGCAGGCTATCTCCTGTGCATGTAAATAAAGAGAGTATACATTTACTTAAAGACGTATAAACTTATATAAGAAACACTTAATTTTTGTTAAGTTTTGTATGTCTAAAATGATACGGAGCAAAGTTAGTAAATACCACAAATGTACGTAACTTAGAATTGGCTGAATATCTTTCTTTTTTCCTGTCTTTAATAGAAATCATCATGCCGTTTTGTTTGGCGTCGTGGCGAGTAGACATCAGGCTATCTCATGAGCAAGTAAATAAAGAGTGGATATAATTGACTTGCGTATAAACTAATATAAGAAACGCTTTGCAAAAACTGGGTGATAAGTGATGATACCTCATTTCGTTAGAAAGTTATGTCATTTGTTTCGGAAAAATGTTAAAAAAAATGATAATACTACGATACCAATTGTACTGCACCAGATGCAGATTTCGACGATTAATGTCTATTCAGTGCTGCTCGGGGTCGAAATATTTGAAAATCCAAAACCAAAAAAAAAACGTTCAAAAGCTGATCAAACCAAACAGAACCTAAAGTAAAGTCAAACCTTGACAAGGAATAAGGCTTTGCATCAACGATTTATTTTCCTTAATTTAAAATATTTTCCAAAACAGCAAAATTCCATCAAACAGTTTCTGTATTTTCATGCTTGGCTGGTGATACCTTCGGGGACTAACAGTCCGCCAGCAGAGGTATCTACCAAGTGGTAATAATCACATTAGCGGTATCAATTTTATGCCCCAGATGCGCGTTATGACTATAATGTCACTTCACTGATGCTCGAGGCCAAAATATTTAAAAATCCTAAACCTAACATAAAATTCTAAAATATAAACCTTGTAGAGAGACAAAATACATGTTTCAGAGAGAGAGAGTAAGTGTTTATCTAGTTGAGTCGTATCCTTTTACTAAAATTTCTAACTTTAATCAAAAGAGCTGACTGCATGATCATGATGAATCAGATAAAATATAGAAGAAGTATACGTCAATGTTACAGTAACCAGACGTCACAAATAATCAAACACATCTATTTGCCATAAAAATGTCTATACAATATATCAAGTTCTATATAATTCCAAGTCTTAACAATGTAATAAATTAAACGCAACCAACTAGGAGATGCCGTCAACACCAAATTAACTAGATAAATACCCCCCAAAAAAAAACAAAAAAAAACAATGATTGTGTATTTACCTCCGGAAATGTGGTAGATTTGTTTAGTTGTTAGGTTGCTTTTTCATTGACGGATTCGCAATTTTGTTTTAGTTCAGTTTTGTGAAGATAAATCACATTGTTTTTCATATATCAAGGAAGCTTCAATTGTGACGGTTTTTAATTAATTTGATTTTGATTATGAACTTTTTTTGTCGTTGTAAGGAACTTTTGATTTATCACGTGGGAAATGTCCGACTTGCTCGATCCTTACGTAGACGTTTACATTGCTTGATAACTGTCTGCCTTATTTTAAAAATCATAAAATACATTCATATATAAGACATTGATTCATAAGAAATCGCCGATTGTTGACCGTTAGTCCCCGAAGTATCATATTCTCAAATTTTCCGTTGATAAATTTACAAATTATTGAGAAATGTGCTCAGGTAAAGCTGACAAAGACGAATTTTGCTATTCTTTTTAGATCACTTTTGGTCATATATCTGCTCATGTATTCAGCTATTTAAACATCGAGTAAATTGAGAAAAGCGATTCGGACGCTCCTAATTATAAATAGTTATGTTCTAGCACAAAGTCTATAATGCTGGTGGTTCCTTTAGATCACATAGCTCCTCATGTATTTTTGCATTCATTCGTACATGGCTTTGCAATATTTATTTGAGAGGTTGATACCGATGCTTACGATTGTATAGAATTTGAATAGCAAAATCAATGAAAATATAATTTATCAAATATTAACAAAATGTATATGATCTATAATTATTTAATGTTCGAAAAGTGCAGTAAGTCGTTAAACTGTTAAATATGTATTTCTGGTATAGTGTATTGTTACAATATGCTTTATTTTTACACATTTGTTCCTTTTATTTTTACACAACATCAATTTCTATTTTTTTTATTTTTTATCCATTTTTCTCCATTCTTTTTTTTCCGGCCTATTGTTCAGTAAACCCAATCCAGACCCTGATACATTATATAAAAGAGAGGCAAAAGATACCAAAGGGACATTCAATCTCATATGTAGAAAATAAACGGACAAAGACAAGGCTACAAAAGAAAAAAAAAAGATCAACAGACAATCAACAGTACACAAAACACAACATAGAAAACCAAAGACTGAGCAACAAGAACCCCACCAAAAACCTGGGGTGATCTCAGGTGCTCCAAAAGGGTAAGCAGATCCTGCTTCACATGTGGCACCTGTCGTGTTGCTCATGTTAGTACAACACCGGTGATAAGTCTAACTCGGTAGGTCACATTCGGAGAAAAGAAGACGGGATATCATAATAATATGCGCAATAACAAAAATATTAAAATCCGCAGAAAAATTAATAAACATTAACACAAAATACATAAAAAAAGGATTGTCGATGAGACAACTTTCCGAAGACAAAAGAACAAAGATATGAACAATTACAAGTCACTATATGGCCTTCAACAATAGTTAAAAAACCCTTAAGTATAGCATAACATACATACGGTTTGCTTTGGTACTGAAATTATGTGTAACATATTTTGTAATTTAATTATCCGTTGATATATTAGATAGATTAAAACTAAGGTTCCAACAGTCTCAGTCGAAGTTAACCGAAGGAGTTGGTTATTCTTTGAAGCCCTTTTTTGATCATAAAGCTACACCCGTGTTTATAAAGTTTTACATCCTTGCCTATTTATTTAGTATGGGCTATCCTGATAAGGTAAAAACACGTTTATAAAGATGTTTTTTTCATTTGTTTTATGACAAATTTACTTTAAAAAAAATCTTGTCATAAAACACATATGTCAAAATTCTGAATGCATGAACAGTATGACACAATATGACCGAATTAGTATTTGACCTCTCTACTCCTAAGACTAGCATTCCGGACAAGACACTTAAAGACAAATCAAAAGAAGAAACAAAAAATCTTCTTTAAGGAACAGAAAAAAACTTTACTTTATGAGAGAAAAAAACAAAACAAAAAAAAAACCACTCTGCTACCAGCAGAAAGTTCACTGAAACTGACATCTTCAAAAATTGATTTATTTGTATTGACAACATTTGTGTTCACTTGGAGATCATGTTTTTTCAACAGACAATAAGCATTCCTATGGGAAATCAACTGTGCCCCTTTATTTGCGGACTTAAGCTTTTATTTTTTTGATAAGCCAGACTTTATACAGAAATTTTAGTCTGATCGTGTTCTACTATGTTACAGTCTGATAAACCTTGAATTTAATTTGATTATGCAACGTTTCTGTTGCAGAACAGTTCTAAAATATATTAATATACACTGTAAACGATTAAATGATTGCTTATTATCTATCTGTTCTTTATATAAAGGTGAAAATAGCATATGCATATTCAGGACGATAGCATGGTTAGGAGATATAAGTATACCCAAAAACAGGCCGTCACGTAAGCAAGATTTTTAACATCGTAAACGGTAAGAATCCGACGGAATGCAACTGAAACGTGCTCATACAATATACACTGCTGCAACAGGGTTATGTGGAAAGACGATTTAAATGATACAAGTACACAAGTTTTACTTTTATCGTCATTAATTGGTAGACCTTTATGACACTTGTTTTACATTCGTTTGATGTGTTTGATGTGTTTTAGCTTTTGATTTTTCAATTTGATAAGGGACTTTCCGTTTTGAATTTTCCTTTGAGTTCGATATTCTTTTTATTTTACTTTTTACTTAAACTTCTATTAAAAGAACACTTTTCGCGGTCTAAGAACAGACGTCTTGATTCATAAATAAACCGGAAGTATCTTAGTGACATATCAACTGAGTCCGGATATGCATGGAACAGATTTGTACCTAACATAGCAACCATTTATATATTTTTGTATTTTATTATTCAAAATCACTGGGATTGAATTACGAAACGTAGAAAAATACTCGAGAAAATGACCATTTTGTTTAAATTTAACCTGATATAGGTGATGTTGTCGTTTTGGTGTTGTGTTTGACGTTGCCATAAAAGCGGGAGGTTTGGCATGCCACAAAACCAGGTTCAACCCACCATTTTTTTCTTAAAATGTCCTGTACCAAGTCAGGAAAATGGCCATTGTTATATTATAGTTCGTTTCTGTGTGTGTTACATTTTAATGTTGTGTTTTTATTGTGTCGTTGTTCTCCTCTTATATTTGATGCATTTCCCTCAGTTTTAGTTTGTAACCCGGATTCGTTTATATCTCTATCGATTTATGAGTTTTGAACAGCGCTATACTACTGTTGCCTTTATTTATAGCCTTAAATTTCAATTTCGTTTCAATGATTATGGAGAATACATTTTATTCTGGTCTAATACAAATCCGCACTCCCTAAAACTGCTATGCGGCTTAACAGTAGTTTGTGTTGTTGGATTTCTGCCTTAATGAAATATATCACACACTTCTCTTTATTCAAATTGATCAATTGAAATTCTAAAGATATACCTGCAGTTCCGCTGTATCCAGTAATACTCAAAGTATACTGTGTTGATGCATCCCCTACACTGAACTCGCTATACTCTGCGTACCTCGAATTCTCTTCAAAATCCTCAAGATGGATGTAAATTTTGTAGGTTCCAGAAGACGTAAGAAGGTTTATGAATTTATTTCCTGTACAACAGAAAAAGCAAACTTTATTCTGCAATCTATCAATCGGAATCGGGTTATTATTGATTTTTAATCGTATAATTCTTAACAGCGCTTAAATGTTTCTATATTTGAGTCATTTGTTAAAATTGGAGAAGAAGAAACATTTAAAACAAAGCATCAGATAACAAGACTGGACAATATACAGAAGTAACTTTATTGGTGAAACCTATTTTCATGTATTCAAAAACAAAGAGGTATCATTTTGTGTTTTGCTTTGTAAATCGTAGAAAACTAGGATTTTGAATAGGTGTTGAATTTGTTATTTAGATTTAATATATGACATAAGATTGTGCAGATAATTGAAAAATATTTTAAGAAAAAAGCTCCAATATTTTTCCGAAAGTTTTAGCTAAACAAGTAGCATGTGTAAATAATAACCTTTTCATCAAACGTTAGTTGTCTCCGATGATATTGTTATCATTTGTATACAACGCAATCATTTTCAAATCTTTCTCCATAAAACTAAGAAAAAATGTGTTCTGGAATAGAATACGAAAGACTGATCAATGATGTCTTAACTTGCTGTGCTGAATGGAAAAGGTGTTTTTCAATGGATTTCAAAGAGAAAATTACCCAACCAAAACTCGGATTTTAAATCTCCAAATCCAATCTCATAATCAATCCATTCTTTGTAAAAATCAACTGCTCCATTCATTCTGCTTTGGAAAACCTTTAGAAAATGTACACAACATTTATAATAATGAAATTAAATAAAACACTATATCGACTTAAACAGAGATAAGTCTATTTTAAACTGAAGTGAATTCGTGTGTTGATGCAGTATCGTAATTGCGTTATCACGATATTGTTTTAATGTCATTTTACGCTCACCTGACCCAAAGTATCATGTAAAGTATTGCCATAAACATATGTTACTAGAACCTAAGGTTAAATTATATTATGTGTCTTATATCTTAAAAAATATAACAGATAGCCAAGATCTGACATAGGTAAAATGCCCAAAGTGTCAAGATCTACCTACTTCCTGTTTGCTGCAAAATTATCAAATGACTCCTTAATGAGTTATTGCCCTTAATGGACATTTTTTTTCAAATTTTTCCTGTTTTGCCTTTTATTCAAACCCATAGTTGATAGAAAGAACTGATAAGGACAACAATTATTAGCAATACAAGATCTACAAAACCCATTATTGATCGAAACTATTGGATGGCCCCTCAAGGATCTATAGCCTTCAAAGACGATTGTGTTGGCTAATGATCTTGTCCATCTTGGGTTTTTTTTCAATGACATTTTCGTCTAAAATTACTGCACAAATTTGAACCTTATTAAGAATGTATAATCCTTCGGATATTTAGTACACTTTATATATTATGAATTCTGTGCTTTTTTCCAGTCATATAACAATCATGGCCACCATTCTTCAAAATAGAACATGAGGGTAAAAATGCATTAATTGTCTTCTATCTCGAAAACTTTAACAGATAGAAAAAATTAAATATGCTCAGAATGCCTTCCTCCTTATTGCAACAATATTATCAGATGGCAAATTACTGAAGTTATTGCCCTTAAATGATGCTTTTTGACTTTATTTCAACCTTTTGTTTGTTATCTTGAAAACTATAATAGATAGGTAGAAACTATAGTCAGAAGAAATGTTCAACACGATCTCCAGAAATGATAATATGTCATTAATAATTTGACTAATTCTTTTATAAGTTATTGCCATTAAATGACGACCTTTGACTAAGTTACGAGTTTTCGCCTATAATTTTAAAAACTATAAAATAGATAGTTGGAAACAAATAATTACAAAAATAATTAGAAATATAAGAACGTCAAAAATACCAATTCAACGTAAACACTTAAATGACTCCTTATAGGAGCTATTGCACTAAAATGAGGATTTATTGACTTTTGAATAGATTTTGTCTATTATCTTATAAATTTTGATAGATAAGTAGAAACTCAAAAAGCAAAAATGATCAGCAATACAAAGCCTGCAAACATTCTTAGATGTCCAAAAACATTGGATGATTTATAACAGTTATGGCAATTAAATGAAGATTTTTGACTTATTTTCCCGTTTTTGACTATTCTTCAAAACTATAATAGATAAACTGAAACAGTGAATAGCAGAAACCATCAACTATTCATGGTCAACAAAAAATGCCAATTTGATCGTAACTATCAGATTACTCTTTATGGATATGATGTTTTGCCCTAAAAAGACACTCATTAACTAATTTTCGAGTAATTGCCTCTAATCTAGAAAATAAAATAATAGATAGTTAGAAACTGTTAACATAAAAAATGATCCAAAATTTTGGGTTTTTGCCTATTAATTTCAATTTTTGGCTTATGAGCGATTTATGCTGTTAGGAGCCTCTTATTTGGTTATATAGCTATTCACGAGTGTATGTAATTATACATTTTGCATTTCATATTTTTGAGTTTTAGCGTTCCTGTTGACGGTAAATTCAGATATCGGACGCATCAAAATTAAAAAAAAAATTATCTGCATTTACTGTTCTTTTTTGAGAGAAAAAACTTTGCAAATTTTTAAAAGATATATATATAAATAAAAACTTGTATATTTTAGAGTAGGACAATTGAAATATTGAATGTGCCTGAAAAAGCATAGTTTTTCAATTGTCCCTAAGCATCAATACAAAGTAAGAGATCAAGACAGTATGCATATCTTAATATTAAATCATCGCCAACTATACATTGTTAATCAAGTATACCTGGTCACGGTAAAAAGTGTCTGGCGCATTGAATCGGTATCGTACATATTCAGTTATGATTACATTTTGTCCATTGGATCATCTACCTTCATGTGAAATCAATGGCTGATTTTTTTTTAATTTAACAATATATTTCCCGTGCGAAATTTGTAAGTAGTTTTTTTTTCTAATTTAGAATTTTCACATTTTTAATCTTTTAATCGAATTGTCAGCAAATTAAAAAACAAACAAATATGGCTTCACTTGTCTGTGAACAAATATTGTTTTTGAAGTGTAGATGCTGAACACAAATGGAACAAAATTTCCTGAAATTATAGTAGTTCAATGCACAGTAAGCTTTGAAAGTTCCGTAGGTTATCTAAAGATTTACAGATTCCGGGAATAAATCAGAAATTGCAAAAACTATAAGTAGCACATTGCTTAGTCCTAAAAAAATTACGCCATCCAACCCAAAAAACAACGAAAGAAAACAAAAACTAAAGTAACAAAAGAGAAACTTAAATTGATGCTTTTCACTTAAAAAAACAGTCATTCTAATATTCATTCCATTTGTTTGGCAAAGTGAACATCAGTTTTTCAAATGTAAATTAAATATGTGTATTCTGTACGAATAATATGATACTATTACATTGAAACCAAAGTTAAATACATATCTACACCTGTAAACTTACAGTCCATCCAAATCCTGCTGTATCCATGTCACAGTAAACATCAAACATCTCGTTTGAAGGATATATTGTATATACCCCTGAGCAACTTCCTTGTGGAAGATCACCACAGTCACGTGGGCGAAGTTCTGAAAATATTTTTTTTAGTTGATGACTTGATTTTCATCTCATATATCAGATAATATTTATACATATATTGCACGACGAACGAATTAACGACGATCCTTTATGATGCAAATATTTCACATGACTTTATAAGCCAGATGATCTTAAACGTTTTCCATTTTTGTCGTGTGTATATGCTTGTCCTTGATGTAAAACATATTTCTCTTATACAGGACCGTGTCTGTTCGAGTTGTTAGGGTGACGTTACTAATGAAGATTTGGCTATTTCATTCGTTTTAGGTTTTGAACATTAGGCCAAGTAAATTTAATTAGTAGATTTTCATCCAAATTTTTTTAAAAAATGGGGTGGGTGGGAGGATTTTATTTTTTATTTTTTATTAGATATGAAACGCTCTTGTGACGTGTTCTTCATATATGCAAGTGTAATAATAAGGTTCTATCATGTATATACATGTATAACGAATCAAACATACAAAGAAATGCAAAAACCAAAATTTGAAACAGGATGTTATTAATGAAACGAAATTATCGACAGTTACCGGTAACGAAAATGAACAAAATCCGAAAATCGTAAATTTTTAAAAATAAAAAAAATTCGGGCGGAACGATTTGAGAGGGGCGGGCGGGGATGAAAATCTATCAATTAATTTTAATTGGCCTTATAAATAATTTTTCAGTTTTATATATTTGTGAAACAGTGATCTCAATTACTCTCCAATTTATTCTTTATATACAAATGTTATTTCACTTTTATAATAATTAGCAGAAAAAGTTCGTTATACCGCCATTAATAGGAAAAAACCAATTAAAAAGTGGAACATATTTCAGAGAGACAACAAAAACAAATTAGAAGAAAAATACAAAACCATTAATAGACAAATATTAACCGAGCAAACACTACACATTAGGTAAAAATAAAACATATTTATTGTGCACACATAGCGATTTCAAAAAGACCTTTTATTCACTTTTCTTTCCTTCTACAAAAACAAACATTTACAAGTTTTTTTTTCTGCTGAACAATAACAATCTCGTTATCTGTTATCATATTGCGGATATTGTGACGCCACAACTGTACCTATAAAAGTGGTGAGTAAATGATCACTTTATCATGTTATCTGGCTACAAGTATTCAGAAAAAAAGACCATTATGTTGTAACAAAATGCAAAAGACCAGACGAGAACGTTATATTATTGTTCGCTTTTTTCGAAATTGAGCATACAGTATATGTACATTTTATGGCATATAATCTTTTATGTAATATTAAGTAACAACATCAAATATTTAGTTTATATTTTTTAATTTCAAAGTTTGCTTGTGAGTATTATTTTTAGTAAACAGTATTGGTATATATAGAACAAGAATATTTTGAAACAGATATTCATTTCACACCAGGAGAAAATAAATCTTGAATGAACAAATATATATTTATTGATAAACATTGGTATACAATTCCTTTTGAAAAGTATAATTTTTTTCTTTAAAAAGGAGACTGTCTAAATGCAATGAATCTTTAAAGAAATCTCTCTAATTGCCCGTCTTATTTCGTACACACATGTCGTTAAAATGTATTACTTAGCTGCTGAACGAATGGAAAAAAGCACAAAAGGAAACAAATGTTCTACAGCCGAAGACTTTTCTGTGTAAAAAAGGGCCTCGCGTAAAACAGGAGTTACTGAAATGATATTTAGTATATCTATATTGTCGTTCATTTATGGATCGTTTGTTCAAAGCAAGGTGAAATATACTGACAACCTTATTTCATTGCAGTATGGAAGCACCATATAAGATATATGATAACCTTCTCAAAATAGCTAAACAAAAATCTGTATGCGTCATATATGAATATTTGTATCCCTTATGATATATAACTAGTCTTACACGTATGTTTATAATTCGGCAAAAAGAAATCAGTTCAGAAATATAAGCCGAACAAAATCGATAACATACAAATAAGGAGATGTGGTATGATTGCAAGTGAGACAGCTATCAAGACCTCCTAACAAATTGGTTTTTAGGTTTGCTAGCCAATCCCGTCAACCAATACAAAGGCAAATTACTATTTTCCCGGTGACTTGCACAGATTAAATATCTTTTGGGTATAAAGAAAAGTAAAAGTTGCACGTGGCTTTCACAGTTCTAATATCACACCATTTCTGAAGTTTACGTTGTTCATCATTGATCATTTATGTCATTTACAAAATACTGGTGACCTGTAGTTTGTTTTCTGTAAACCAACTTATTTTCGCGGATACTTTATTTCGCGTGTAGCCATTTTTAAACGACTGCGCGCCGATTTATTTTCGGGGTTTTCTTTTTTCTTGACGTATTTGTACAAGGAAAAACCCAAAGTGATACATATTTGCGACGATTTATATTTGCGATATTTTTGTAGTCACGAAAATCGCGAAAATAAGTCGCTCTCGAAAATAAGTTTTTTTACGGTGTTATTGTCAGCATAATATACTTCCGTTATAATATTCCCATTATCATTTTTGTCAGAGATCATATGAAACAACATTATTCCAAGATAACTATTTTATAAAGCTTGACTATGAAAAACTTGATTGCAAATTACAATTTTACCTGAAACTACATCCTTTAAAAGATGCCGAGTACCTGCTGCTAAGACACATGGAAAATTCGGTTTCACTCCAACAATAAATGTGAAGGGTAAACACACTTAAAATCATGTATGAAAACACTTTGTTGATCAGATTTATTTGTGTAAATGCATATATAAAAAAGAAGATGTGGTATGATTTCCAATGAGACAACTCTTCACAAGAGACCAAACGACATAGAAATTAACAGTCATAGGTCACCGTACAGCCCTCAACAATGAGCAAATCCCGTACCGCATAATCAGTTATAAAAGGCCCCGAAATGACAAATGTAAAACAATTCAAACGAGAAAATAACTATGCCATGATATATAAAACTTACGTGTGCTATTTTCAAATAGCTTTATAGGTAATGGAACACAATAGTAATCCGTTCCTCTTGGCATGCATGCCTCGTTGAGTTTACAATCATTTCCTCTGCATTGACCAGCTAGTTCCTGAAAATTGAGTGGCCATCAGTTACATGAACATGAAAATGTCAATCCTTTATGCGAATTTCTCCAAAATATACACAATTTTTAGAGCAATGAACATTTATTTGCATTACAAAGGCATTCTCAGATTGTGCCGATTGAACATAAAGAATCATCATCAAGTTATGATTTCGGACTATGTTCATTTCAAAATTAAAAAAAATGTTTTCATGAAGAAAAAATGCTTAAAAGTTTGAACACATGCGGTTATTGATAAAAGGTATAACTAACTTTCTCGGTGCTGTATAAAAAATTTCTTAAATAATTTGGTGGAACTGAAATATAGAATTATTATGTTTGTTTCGAAAAATTACAATCGACCAGTTACAATTATTACAGTAAATTGCAAAATTATACTTCATTTAATCCGTTTGCCTCACGTCATGAAATGTAGTATACAGAACACACCTCACCCTAACAGTTATCACACATTTGGTGTTTATTATGATTATCTAGTAGCTAACAGAAATATTTAGCCAAAGTAACAGTCTACAATCATTTTTGTCTCGCCTGCGACGAAAGTCGCAATAAGCGAGACATATGTATTGTGTTCCCGGCGGCGACAGCGGCGGCGGAGGATGCGTCAGCAATTGCTATTTTTTCTGCTTAAGTCAGTTTGATAGGACCTACGTGTGATAGATGAATGATATTTTGTATAAAGATGCATTACTATCAGTACATATCAGTTTGACGGCTATATCGATGTCTGCTCTCCTCCTCCTTTTCCCTTCAAGGTCAAGGTCCAGCAACTTTCAACTAATAAATAATTATATACATATTGTCGTCTGCAAGGTTTGGTGCATATTTTTATTAAATTTTTATATATATTATATTGCAATTACCTGAGGAAAAGTCGAGGCAGCAACAAAGCTATTTCCAATACTCTCAACGAGTGCACATTTACTTTCACCGGGTTCAGCGTCATTTATTTGGCAAGTTTTATTCGCTGCTATAAAGTTAATAGATTTGCATATTTTTACTCTCGAGCAGTATTGAGCACATATTGACCACATCGGCATTCGTACCTCAAACAGCACATGACCAATGTATATTTGATCTTTTTGTTTTTTAAAAACGACTATTTCACATAATGTCCACATAAATAGGAAAGCTATCGAAAAGGTCAAGCGGTACATTTTGCTTCAATTGAAATATCATGAAAGTATTTATGTTTCTTCCTTACTCGAAAATCTTTGCGTGTGTTCATGTAGGCTATTCATTACATAGAAACATAGAATCATTTTTAATCCGGTTATTCTTAATCTATCGAATGATTAACTAACGTAGTGAAAATAACAATTACAATTGATAAAGAGATGATATTTCGATTTCATTAATATTACAAAAGCCTTTTAAAGTTGAAATGTAATTCATGAAAAGAATACAAGGTAATGACGTTTTCAGTATAACGTTGCGACAACTCATTAAATGCATATGCATTATTTATATGATGATGCAGTCAAAACTATATTGATTTTATTGTCTAAATTTCTATCAAATCTTCGTTTTGTCAATATATCAAAGTTCTCAACATAAAACTTTCAAAAACGTCCAGTAAACCTGTTAAAACAGTCAGCAGAAGTATCTGTTGAATAAATGTACGTATACCAAGAGTATGTTGGGGAAATTATTGTCACTTGGATTAGGTAACTGTTTCTCGTGAAAATTGTAAAAACTAATTTTTTTCCAACACTTGTTTAAAAATTGAAAAATTAGAATTGTCCAATATATCGTAAAAAATAGTATTTCAATGACAAGCTCGAATTATTTCAGATAACGTTTCAACCAATATAATTGTTGAGCTTTCTCCCTCTTTTCATTCACTAAACACTAGCGGTACAGGGCTTATGTATAATTCAATTCATACTGTTTGTATATAAATATAAGATATCTTCTAACTTGTATTTATCTATTATAACCGATTATTCAGTTTCATATATCATTACATTCTATATGGCTCCAATATGGTCAAATCCGACCTGCGTTCATGGGGGATTTGGCTGGCGACCTTGCAACCTGACGTCTCATTTCAAGGACATGTTACCTGTGACCTTTAAAATGTTCAAAATCAATTTTTTTTAAATTTGCTTAAAATTGAACTGGTGATCTGAGGCAATTTCTAAATGTGAACTTGTGACCTAAGGGGGTAACCTTCTAGAGCTCCTTCTATGAACAAGCCTGTTTCACCATAAACCATTCTGATATAGGTCGCAGCTTCTTTTTAGATGGAATAAACCGTATAGTTGGTAACGAATGGGTTTGCTAATATTTACATTGTTAAGTTTTTTCATTCCAGTCACTTTCAAATGATTTTATTTTAGTTTACAATCCAAGTATGTCCAATGAATAAAGTTACCTTCTAAAGTTCACAATTTGATAAACCCAATTGTTAATCAACAGACGGAAAATGTTGTTATGATGAATATACCAAATTCAAAAAGATATCTTAAACTAGAATGATTCTGTTCTCTGAGTTAAACTTTAAATAATGACCAAAACAGAAAATTCAGTTGATGATAATCTCTAAAGGTTTGATATGACGTAAATATAGATCTTCTTTTCACTCACTAGAAGTCCTATTTCATTACAATACCTACAAACAAGTCATTTTGATTGACCAAATGACTTATTCTGACTCTCAAAATCTGATATTCCCGATATTTCTATATTTTCAAACTTGTTCTTGACCTTTTGATGTGTAATTTGTTTTATTACTTGCCAAATTGGGATAAGAAGATTTCTTTTGTGAATTTTGCCTTGGATTTAGAATTTTATGAAATTAGACATATTAATAGGCTGTGTTTACCGCTTCTTTTAGTTTGTTAATTTTATATTCATCAATATGGGTTAAAATTTCAATAAACATGCAGGTTTGAGATTCCTCGAAAAGGATAAGCTGTCTTAAATTGTCATTAGTTTTATCAATATTTATAGTACTGCACCAACTTTGTAACACACGAAGGAAAAATTTGTCCACCTCTTGTTCTGTGAACGGTGTAACACATTTAACTTAATAGCTTACATCAAGTTTCATTTCGCCTATTATTAGAGATTTATCGAATTATGTTTGCTTCATTTGTATTTCCATTTCTTTTAATCCAAATTCTTTTTCCTTTTCTATTTGTTATACTTTTATTCTTGATCTGTTTCTTTTTCTTTTCTTCAGATACCCTTTCTTTTTCTCCATGTTCTCTTTGTTCTTTATCACGTTCTCGTTCTCGTTCTCTTTCTATCTTTATTTCTTTTAATTGTAATTCTATCACCTTTTCATTTTTCTTTTTTTGAAATCCAAATTTTCTCATCTTAAGTTGAATTTTAAGTTTTCAGAATATTAAAGGATAAACCTTCAAAGCCGATTCTGGCAATATATCTTTCCAACCTAAAACTGAACAATAAGATTTCTTTTATTTTACATAGATGCTTTAATCTCCAAATTAAAATGTGGCCCTAAAATATCAGTTAAGGGCATATGATACAGTAGAGATCCCTCGTTGTTTTTTTTCTTAAAATGCTGATAGAAGGTCAATTGTAATGTGTACTTTTGAAATATGAAAGAAAAATATACCTCCATGACTTACTTTTCGAGATTTTTTGGTTCGAAATTTGCATATTTCAAAGGAAAACTTAGACATTTCATGTTGAAGGACTTGTAAAGAAAGTAGCAATACTTTGGAACGAACAGTCATAATCTAACCGGTTTTTATGTAAAATGTTCCCTTGGCCCAATGGCATTAATACGCTGTAACAATTTAAAGCAGAAACTAAATAATTATATCCTGAGTTATGTTACTATAAGTGAAAGAAAGAAGTTGAAAATATTTTTTGCGTCTACACAGAAGTGCAGAAAAAAATTCTATCGTTGATTTTTTCTTTAAATTTTGGTGGAGCGTACTTAAGACAGTACTTGATTGATTGCAAAAGAAAAAAAATAGGGGTTCGTGTGCTTGTTTGTTCGATAAAAGCCATAGGCCATGATTTTTAATGGCAATCGGGAAAATTGCCAATAGGGCGCTAAATTACGTTGCAATAAGTTTGAATCGCAACAACGTCATGCAATCATTCCGGCCATACACGATTACACTGTCAAGTTCAGTGGTATAGCCAATATTTTTTTTCTAAAGCAACGATATTAATCATCCAAATTTATAAAGCTGGTAACTCGTTTAATAGCATAAAATATTTGCCAAACCTTTATGAAATGTTACGGAACTAGTACAGAAACGTCTTCATAATCAAGAAAAAGCATCTTAAAAAGTATTCTGGTAAATTACTTTGAAAATTGTACGGAAATTATTCAAAAAGCCCCGTCATGAAACATGTGAAACAATTATAAAGTAAGTGAGATAATATAAAAATAAGGACATTTAATATGATTGCCAATGAGACAACTATCCACCATAGTTCAAATGACGGAAATAAAAGCAATAAAAGGTCACTGTCGCCCTAATTTAAACCTTTTTTTACGTCTCCTGTATGTTTCAATGCACTTCTTCAACCGTTGAATCTATCAAATAGGTCAAGAGGTATAGCATCTCGCTTCAAATTCCTTTTTTTTTTACATTCAAAAGACAATCTTCTTTCAAACTTTAATTGCAAGGAGAGACAAAGACCTAAAAAAACTGAAATGTTCTACTTTGGAAACTATATGTAGTTTAAATTGATTTAGTCACGTGGATTTAGGATAAAAAGAATATCTGTGGACACTTAATTTCATGGTTTTGACATATTTTGTAGGCATAGCAGTCTAGAGTAAAATATCAGTTTGTTATCAACCTGAATCTATTTTTCTTTTCAAACAAAGTCAATGAAATTGATAAAGTTGAATTCCCAGCCTTCGATTATTTTAAAGTCATGCTACATTGTACTTTAAATGCAGAATTATCAAAATAAAAGATATGCATGTCATTATACAATAACAACATTTTTGGTAACAATCAAAAAGGTGAGAGCATGGATGGTAAATTTGGTCTCCATACATGTAGTCATAATATGTACTGGCAACCACACCCACATTACAGTCCTTGGATGGTGTAAACTTCCCACTTACAACATACACCATTCACCATACACAATTACACCATACACCTTGTGCCATTACACCATACACTTTACATCTTTGCACCATACACCTTACAAATTACACCATACACCATTCCCCATTCTATCTACACGATCCGAAATTACCCATAATGCAATTAAATTTCAAAGAAAGCGTGCGACTACAAATTATTTATTTGTTTCAAAAAAACGAATTTTGATCACAATATTGTAAATTAATGTATAAAATTAAAACCTCCGTGGTCATGCCTATGATGGTTATATAAACAATACAGATTAAATATATATACATGTATTTGTAAATAAAGTACGCATAAAACTTTGCTTGTAATGCAAATTTATCCGCGATCTGTCTATCTATAAATACTCTAGGTCAGGGAAACAATGCGCATGTGCAAGATTGATCGTGATTTTGCGTTATCGACTGATTAGATACGAGATTTGATGAACTGGGGGCATTATCAGTTTATTGATTTATCAGATCGGCATTGTTATTACTGTAATCAGATTTTTTTTTAAAAGTGATTGATTACACTGACAGATTAAAACATTTTGATTGTTATGTTAATTAATCTTAATTACAAAAGAAACGGTTTGATATATATTTACCTGACTTTGCGTGTCACCCTCACGCAAAAATGGACAGATTCATGCTGTGATGTTCACTTAGCAGATATATTCATTAAGTTACGGGTGCTATTTCATTACCATATTTTAGGTCATAAAAATAAAAGTCAATCAACAAAATACTAGGCCATATGGTATCATAAAGTTTTACCTTAAACTATTAATCTCACCAGGCGACAGTTGGACAAAATTAATATACCCTTAATAATTATAACCATGTTCTGACAGCCCTGATTGCATGCGTGTATTAAATTTACATAAAGATATTGTTGTGCTTAATCCAAATGCATCACAAATTGACAATTTTGAAAGGAGAGGGATCTGAGTCGTTCAGCATTTTATCTTGTCTTATCATGAAGCATACATAATATAGTATGCAGAATATCTAATTAATTTCAATGAGATTTTATAAGATCTTAAACAGAATAAAAGATACTGTATATATTTTTTTATATCTTCAGAAAGTAAATTTTCACACATATTTATAGTTAGGCATTTGATTACATACTTTTAATGAACAGTGCTGTTGTATATTTATTTTTGTGTCAGAAAATTCAC